TGTTATGATATTTAGAAAAATGTATAACGAAAAATAAATGACTGAATTTTAAGGTATATAATTAATTAAATTGTTTTTCGGCCAGTAAAATTTAAGGATTAATTATAATAAAATTAAAGTTTAAGGTACTTATTTATAAAATTAGTGAAGTTTAAGGATCATTTGTACGAAAATTAAAGTTTAAAATATCTAATTATAAAAAGAATAAAATTTAAAGAATAATTGAGATAAAATTGAAATTTAAAAACAATTAAAAAGTTGAACACTCTTTTCTCTATTCTATTTCTACCACATTTGAGTTTCAACTTCTCATTACATAACCGAACGTATTTAGACCATGGGAATAGCAAGAGCTGAACGCCTGGACCGTTGTGAACTTACACGATGGCTACTGTATTCTATACTATATATTGACACCATAAAAACCTCTAGATGACTACATAATAATTGGGCTACAGCAAAATTTCCCTGTTATATTTTAGGGATATGTACACCTGAAACTGCACCGATATATGATATAACTATAAAACAATCTTTATCTGTGTGAGTTTACTTAATCCGCTACAATCTACCATACCTCCTTATGCTAACTTCACCCAGTTATCTGTCAGAAAAATATTTGTTTTCCAAAAAGCACGGGAAAATAAAGACGTGCAATCCTCTGGTTAGTGAAATATTCCTCAAGAAATAGCTAACACATCTAACATTTGAGGGGGAAAAGTAAGGAATTAGTGTAAAACCTTTTAAATTGTATGTTATTATGTGCATCATTTTGACTCTCAATTTGTTGTTATTATAATTAATTATTTTACACGAGTAAATGATATTGAATTTCATCCTATAAGAACAAAACTAACAAATTAATTAGTGAATAATAAAAATGCATACCGTGTAAACATAGGGATCGTGACGTCCACCGGAACCTGATCTTTTCACCGCATCCACCTTCAGCAACCTGCAAATAGTCCTTAGTTTTATCAAATGCAACAAAAATAATGACACTTCTATGGAAATAAAAGCGTTAATGACACATTTTTCTAATAGGCCTTTTTTAACACATTTTGATTAAAAAGTGAGAATTATAAAGGAGTAAGATTCAAGTAATTTCATAATTTTTAATAAAATTCAATTAGAATAAAATGCGTGTTAAATAATGAAAATCCACAGATTTCAAATTCAATCCATCTTCAGTAGTAGTTCATGATTGTTTTCATCACAACACAATACAAAACCAAGGTCGATTGAAAATTTGATTCTGGTGAAAACAAACCAACCTATTCACGTCTTTAATAGAAATGTTTATGTTGCATGCCACAATCCACGTGTGTGCGTGTGAGACAGAGAGAGAAAGAGAGGGAGAAAGAGAGAGAGAGAAAGAGCACATTCGGAGAGCTTTGCTAGTGTCAGGGCTGTCACCGAGCATTTGACGGATTCTCACTTCAGAGGAACCACCGTGAGAGAGCAACTTCAATATGGCTTCGCCGCGCCGGCGCAGGTGTGGAGAACCGGCGGTGTGATGCGACGGCGGCGCCGGCTCGCGTCCCATCCCCGGCATGCTCGCATTCGCGCCTCTGCATCTGTTAGCGTAGCGCAAGCTTCGTGCGCTAGAGATCCCGCTCGAGCTGCTCGACAAACAGGACGAGGCCTCACCAGATATCGAAACAGGAGTCACTTTCGCGTCCTCGTCGGCGTTCGGTTTCCGGTCGCCGCCGGTGCAAGAGGAGGTCCACGTGACCTTCGATCGAATCCTCCTCGCAATCTTTCACAAATCAAAACTCCTCAGTTTACACAATTTTGAAAACATAACGAACTAAACTAACGACTCTAAAACAATCCAGAAATTCAAAATCACATATCGTAATTATCAAATGTTTGCATTGCCGAGATTCAACTGAAATAAAATTTCAGTATAAACACAAATCGAGCAATCGATTTGAACACTGAATTTTAACAAATTCACAACGATTATTCCAGATCATTCCACAGCATTGTTTCTTCTGCTTCCGAACGCTATAACAGATAACGAAACAGAACAAATTCTGAGAGAGCATGGATGAGAAGATGCATAAAGCGACCTTGAACTTCATCTGATGGTAACGAGCGATGGCAGAGAAGAAGGAAATACTTCGCGATTTGATCTCTTCCTCCGATGAATCACCGGCGTCATTAGTGAGGGAGGACGACGAAGACTTCTTGGAACCGCCGGAAACTGAACATTCTCTGAAACTTTTGATGCTGCTTCTCTCTGGAAGTGGATCGTTGAAATCAGAGAGGAACCTTCAGAACAATAAATTTGCAAAATCAAAGTGAAGATCAAAACGAAAATAAGAATCGTAAGAATGAGATGTGAACTGAGATGGCTATGGTTACTTTGGAGTAGAAACTGAGGGAGAAGGTGCGGTGTTGAGAAGAAGCAGAGACGATGCAACCGTTCGTTCTTCGGAACTCGGGAACGAAGACATTTCTGGCTTCAGAATCCGAAGCTTCACTCTCTCATTCTCTCTCAGCTTTTGAAATTTCGCGGGTATATTGAAATCTTTTCAATTTTTTCTCTCTCTGTCAGCGTGTGCCGCGTGTCTCTCTAGAGGTTTTTCTTTTTCTTTTTTTCATTAATCTTTTTCAGACAAAGCATCTTAGAAATTTTATTTCAAGGTAAAAATATTTCACAAAATCTATAATACGTATAGATAATATATGATGCATCAATAATGGACTACTGAACACAAGACATTCTTTGTCGATGGGGTTCAATCTTGCTAGTTAATAATCTAATCTTCATAGTTGCCTTATTTAGAATTTTTTGTCAATTTAATTTACAATATAGTCTTTTTCTTATTTACTCTTACTATTTTTAATGGTGAAACATCAGATTTTTTCTCACTATTAGTTTCTATTTAAAAAAAATAAAGGAATATAACGAGACCCATTCTTTTAACAGAAAAATTATTACTTTCATAGGTGACTGAAATAAAATTGTATCTTCACATAATATTAACTTTTAAGAAAACAAAAATCGAGATAAGCAGACGACTGCATGCTAGAATAAATGCAAGCATATTTTGGCTTGTTCTTCCATTTTTTTTTTGCCTATAAATATTAGAAGAAATGGAACCTATAAGATGAAAGGATTCTTGTGGTAAGCTTACGTATATAGAACCTTGATCCTGTAATATGCCGATGAATCTCTACTTTTAGTGGAATGCTTATTGCTTCATGGACTGTTAATAATGAACTTCTAGGAGATTATTCTTGCTTAACTCTCATATTGTATTTCTTGGTAGTCCCTTGTGTGGTTTTTAGTGTGTCGTGGAGTGATTATATTATCATATCTTGACTCTACAACATTTATTTAAATAAATTAATAATCAAATATGTCAACTATTGATTTGTCATAAAGCATTTACTTTAGATTGATCACATTTACTTTAGTAGGAAATCAAATTTGGGCCTGTTTGTCTTTTTTTTTTTTTTGTTAATTTCTTAAATTAAATATCTTTTACAAACTTACAAATTTTATCATATGTTTTTTTTTTAAATCATGGAGAGGAAGATCGACCTCAAGAGAAAGAAGAGAATGAATGATGTTATGTTGCATGGATATCATGGATGGTTTTTGTTTGATATTTAGAAGAACATTTATGTCAGCTTTCACTTGATTTAGTGTCTTATATTTTAGCATAGATATAATTGTCATACATATATAGAAAACAAGTTGTTTAAGAGTTCATACTTAGAAGACATATCATCATCATAATGACAATTTCAACAGTTAAAATAATTTTTGTGACATTTTTTTTTTCATTTTGGATTAGTCGAGCCTAGCAGCAGAATTATTTTAAATATAATTTTTATTCAATCATTAAGTCATTAATATTAACAAGTGATGGTCAGAATCAGATGGTCCCTACGACGAATAATTCATGGTAATTATATATTTAGCACATGACAGAACAACATATTATTCCATTTAATTTAAACAACACGGTTCACTCCTTCTTAGTTCTTATCATTCACTAACAGTGACTTCAAAGATATTAATTTATCACATTGTAAAAACAATTTGTGCAAAATAAAAGAATTTTGGGTAAATTCAAGAAACTTGTTTATTGGCAATGAAAATCCAGTATATCTATGCTTAATTGCACAAGTGAAAAGGTGACCCAAATAACGAAAAGATATTACACCAAATTAGATAAAAATTTACTAGAAAGGGTGCCCAGTTAAAATATTTCTAATGTTATTCTGACAACTGGAAATGTTTTTTTTATACATCTAAAGAAAGATATCTAAAGGCTTTTTCTGTTGTTATGAGGCCGACCCACTTGTACTGGGCTGAACATAGCCCAAGTGTGTTTAGATTGTACTGGTTTGGTTCAGAAAAAAATCCATTGTCTCTAGCTGCATTTTATTCTCAAGTTATATTTTATAAAACGCATTATTTGGAAAAAATGATTACATTTTTATTATGAAATTGTACCTCACAAATATTCAAAAGGTATCTAGTAACAAAAAAAAAAATTGAACAGAATGTTTGGACAGCATTTGGGTTCTTTCGAAACCAAACACTTGGGATCAATGGTGTTTCTCTTGGGACGAGGCATAGGCACTTTGTACAAAATCTTACTACACATGGCAAGGCATTGATTTAGTCGAAAAAGACTTGTTAACCACGCTGGACGCACTTTCAAATAGACCCATCAAACCTCAAAAGTGGTTACCACACCAAGTTTAACTGGCTTCCCAAGTCACCTCTACTTTGGAAACAAAAACAACTTGGATTTCAAGCAGAGCCAAATAACCCACAAAATAAAACACTGCAAGTTCCATCTGTCCCCAATAAATCAATACTAACATTATAATAACAATTCCAATTAATACCCCAACGTGAAATATTACCTAATAAGTCCATTCCCCACACCAACCATAAAATAAAAATTGAAATAAAATAAAATATTAAAGTTGTAACTGAACCAGCTGAAGATTTCACTTCACCAAACTAGTTGCAGTTGCATTCAAGCTTAAGGAACCGACACACTCAACCTTATACCTGTCGGCAACCACAACGTTAAACAAAACTTCAGTGACATTCTATGTTTTGGTTTGGGTCAGATAATGTGTGTGTGAGTTGAATTTATTCAGCTCAAGTCAAGCTAAACAAACAAAAACACATTCTTGGGGGGTTTCAATTCAACACTTGAACTCAATGATGGTCCAAGAGCGTTCAACTCCCAAATCTACAAACCAGAAACCCCATTTCAGAAACCAAACACTTCCCACAACCACAACCACGAAGAACCTTGATTTCTCCGCATGGGTTTCCGACAACTTGTTCAAGATCGTCGCAATCTTGCTCCTCGTCGTCACCGTCGCCGCCGTGTTCTTCCTCCGCAACGCCGGCGACACTGCCGCGCTTCTCTGCTTCGAGAAGCAGGCGCAGGAGCTCGAGAAGATCGCGTATCCGCGCGTGGATTGGAACGCGATTGGGCCAATTGCCGACAAGACATCGAAGTTCGCGAACTTTCGGTCGGAGAAGTGGATCGTGGTCTCGGTTTCGAGTTACCCGAGCGAAGCGCTTCGGAAGCTAGTGAAGATGAAGGGGTGGCAGGTGCTGGCGATCGGGGGTTCCAAAACGCCGTCGGATTGGGAATTAAAAGGTGCGATCTTTTTGTCGTTGGATGAACAGGCCAACTTGGGGTTTAGGGTCGTTGATTACCTTCCTTATGATTCGTTTGTTAGAAAGAGTGTGGGGTATTTGTTTGCAATTCAGCATGGTGCTAAGAAGATTTTTGATGCTGATGATAGAGGGGAAGTTATAGATGAGGATTTGGGTAAGCATTTTGATGTGGAGTTAGTTGGAGAGGGTGCTAGGCAAGAGGTTTTGTTGCAATATAGTCATGATAACCCGAATCGAACCGTTGTGAACCCTTATGTGCATTTTGGGCAACGTTCTGTTTGGCCTAGAGGGTTGCCTTTGGAGAATGTGGGTGGAATTGGGCATGAGGAGTTTTACACTCAGGTTTTTGGTGGTAAGCAGTTCATTCAGCAGGGGATTTCGAATGGCCTGCCGGATGTTGATTCGGTGTTTTATTTTACAAGGAAATCAGGTTTGGAAGCGTTTGATATTCGGTTCGATGAGCATGCGCCGAAGGTGGCGTTGCCGCAGGGTGTGATGGCGCCGGTTAATTCTTTTAATACTATGTACCATTCGCCTGCATTTTGGGCTTTGATGCTCCCCGTGTCGGTTAGCACGATGGCTTCTGATGTGTTGAGAGGTTACTGGGGACAGAGGCTTCTTTGGGAGCTTGGTGGTTATGTTGTGATTTATCCCCCTACTGTTCATAGGTATGACAGGATTGAGGCATATCCGTTTTCAGAAGAGAAAGATCTTCATGTGAATGTGGGTCGTTTGATTAAGTTCTTGGTTCTGTGGAGATCGAATAAGCATAGGTTGTTTGAGAAGATTTTGGACTTGAGCTATGCAATGGCAGAGGAGGGCTTTTGGACTGAGAAGGATGTGAAGCTTACTGCTGCTTGGCTGCAGGACTTGCTGGCTGTTGGCTATCAGCAGCCAAGGTTGATGTCGTTGGAATTGGGACGTCCGAGGGCAAATATTGGTCACGGTGATCGAAGGGAGTTTATACCACAAAAGTTGCCATCAGTTCATCTTGGGGTTGAAGAAACGGGAACAGTGAATTATGAGATTGGTAATTTAATCCGATGGAGGAAGACTTTCGGAAATGTTGTGCTTATCATGCATTGCAGTGGACCTGTGGAACGCACAGCCCTGGAATGGAGGTTGCTTTATGGGAGGATTTTCCGATCTGTAGTTATTTTGTCAGAAAGGAAAGATGTAGATCTTGTTGTAGAGGAGGTCCATTTGGACTATGCATACAGGTAAGTCCAGTTATATCTTACATTTTCCTGTATGAGTCATGATTGCTATTTCATGACCAAGCTGCTAATAGATTTATTTTATCCAAATATATTCTAAAACAGAATACTGGCCTTTCATGATTACCTGAGATGGTTTTCTTTTATCATTAAAAGTGTGAATAAAGTAAATTACAGGGGCCAGCTTTTTCATGGGCAATAGTACAAGATTGAAGTTCATGATAAATTAAAATAAAACTATCTCAAGTAATTGCTTTGGACAATTAGCTGTCTGATACAGATAAATTGCTTATGTGTTGTGCTTGTGGAATATGAATTAACTTGGACAACAGCATAGACAAAACTTTCCATCACTTTAAGCATGCTGGTATTAGTGCCTTATATGTTCTATAGCACACGAGTCACTAGCAATGCAAATTTTTGAAAGAGTAATATTAGAAATTTTACTTGTTTTAAACTGTGAAGCATTTATCTCTATCTCCTCAAACATTTTGTTTAATCATACTAGGATCTATAAAAGAGATTGAATGTTGCATATTGGATTGTTTGGTTCAAAGGAGGGGAGGGATTTGGCCTCCCTCATTTCCCTTTCCCTTTCCCTCTCTAAACTTCTAAACCAAACAATGATTTTTCACCAAAGTCCCTCCATTCCCCTCCTCTCCAACCAAATAGTATAGATATACCAAACATAAGATCGGAGATTCTAGATGGATACTGTTTAGAAGTCAGAACAAGGGGATTGCAGAGGGAAGGAAAGAAGAATAATTTATTGATTTACTATTTATGATTCTCATCTTTAATAACACAAACTCTGAAAGTTCACTCACCTGACAAGCAGATTAATAACCAGATTTGTAGTTCTAAATTTCCGATTGCTTATCTTTGTCCTTGTTGATATAATTTTAATTTTATTAATCTCATGTTTCCAGGTATCTGCCAAAAATTTTTGATCAATTTAGCAGTGCAGAAGGATTTTTATTCCTACAGGATAACACCATTCTTAATTACTGGAACTTACTACAGGCTGATAAAACTAAACTGTGGATTACTAATAAGGTATTATTGTTACTATGTTTCCTCTCATTGAAAGTCTGGATTCTTATTTTTGTACCATAGATACTCTCCCCTTACCAATTCCCAAAAAAGTGATAATACAAGGCTTGTTGGCCTCTGTTTGGAATGCTTGTGTTGTACAATTATAGTAAGAGAGTAGTTTTATTCTAGTTAAACCCCATTCCAATCCCTAAAATTAATTGTAAGCATTACGTTATTTTGTCCTTGACTTTGCAAAACATTGTTCACTTTAGTCATTTTTTAGTTTAAAATGAAATGGTTAGACCATTTTAGTGTAAAATAACTGTGTAAAATAAAATGGAAAAGGACTGAATAAATTGGCTTTTTACAAAGTCAACAACTAAAGTGAGGATTTTGTAAGTTAGAAAGTAAATTGGCTAATGCTTATTGCTTACAATTTCAAGGATTAGAATGGTGCGTACTTTCTTTAATCTATTTTTAGTGTGAAGTTGTTGTACACTATTATCCAATCATATCCTGTTACGGGAACAGAATAGAAGAGTTTGACTGCTCAACTTGTTTATATCATATTCAAATTCCTTTAGGACAATCTTAGCACAATAGTGGATGATAGTGTGATATTATTTTACACCAACTAATGGATCAAAATCAAATCATTGATTTATTGTCATACTTGATAATGCTATATAGCTTGAACTCTTAGAAGGTAGTTCTCACTTTTTCTCTCTGACAATTTACAAATTCACTTGAATCCAGGTATCCGAGTCTTGGGCTTCTGTATTAACTAAAGATGACAACACTGATTGGTTATCACAGCAAGCAAGCATGGTACAGAAGGTTGTTAGCATGATGCCAGCTCACTTTCAAGTCAGTTACAAAGAAACAAGTGCCGACGAAAAGAACCTTCTATTATGCAGTTCTGAGGTGTTCTATGTTCCTCAGCGCTTTATCAGTGATTTTGTTGAGCTTGTTAACCTAGTGGGCAATCTAGAGATCCATCAGAAGGTTGCAATTCCTATGTTCTTTGTCTCCTTAGATTCTCCTCAGAATTTTGACCCTATTCTTGATACAATGATCTACAAGCAAAATCCTCCTGCTAATTCCTCCACTCTTTATTCTCCCAAAGTCTCTGCTGTTCATCCATGGAATGTATCAAGTGAACAAGACTTTATAAAGCTTATCAGAATAATGGCAGAAGGGGATCCACTCCTAATGGAGTTAGTTTGAAAGTAGAACTGTTTCTTGATGCTAAATCACAAGAAGGATACAAGAAACATGTAACACTCAGATAGCTCCTATGTGGTCTCTTTTTAATCGAAAACAGTGTTACAGTCTTTTTTTCTCTTTTTTGTTTATTGGGTGGTTTTTTAACCCTTCCCATTCCCCCCCTCTTATTGTAGATTTGTTCCACAGAGAAAATGTATCATTCCTTTTACCCTTTCATTTTTGTGAAAAGTGAAATGAAAATGTATTTGTATTCAATATTGCAATTCAATCTCTCCATTAAGAGATTCTTTTTTGTTATGAACTTGGAGTTTGTCTGATATACACTGCTTTCCCCTTATAACAACTAAGCAATAATATCTTATGAAGAGCATCTTCATGGTGTATTATTGACTATGCCAGGCCACCAACTTTGTAATTGCTGTTGGAGATTCTTTGATAAGGCAAAGTAGCTAGGGTATATAGTAATGCGAATTATGTTGTATCTAGATCTAAAATTATTCAGTGCTTTGTTACTTGCAATGTTTTGCACTTGAGCAACAAGGACAACTTCTACTCTAGAAAGTGAGTTGGAAAATACTGTCCAGTGTTCTTGAGACACTGATTAAAAAGAAAAAAATTTATTAAAAGTTTAATTAATACACTTTTATCATGATTATGATGAACCCCAATGGGATTTCTATTAACATCTTTCTATTTAGTAATTCCTTAACTAATATGTTTAGGAAAGTGGTTAGTAAAAGTGAAAAATCTTTATATTTATTATTAACAATTATGCATAATTAACTCATTAAACTTAACAAAAGGTAGTTATACAATGTAAATTTATATTGTAGTTTAGAAATATCTATAGCACTAACATACTCTTTTTCATATACTCTTAGTTATTAGGTAAATTTTATATAGTCTTAGTTATTAGGTAAAATTTATTAAAAACTATAAAACTATGAATGAGAATCATTAAAGTAAGATTAAAAATATTAAATTGAAAGTAGGATCCATATGTTTCTTTATTTTTTTAAAGAATTTTTTGTTAAGAATTAAAAATGTATTAGAATGTGTTAGTGTGTTATTAAAATTTCTCAATAACAATTAATACATATAAAAATAAGTTTTTATTTCTTAGTCACAACAAAAAAAATATTGATAGTAATTTCTTATAAATAAAATCAGAAGGATAATAATAAGCAATAAATGAGAGTCGTTCTTTATGCTTTAAACTGGAAGCTATATTTGCCAATCAATTGTACGATGGAGCATGATCCCTTGAAACGAATAAAACTACAACTTATAAGAGTGGTGAAATCATATTGAAAGGTTGCATGGAAATTTTGCTATTAATTCAGCTTTGGGAAGGAAAATCCATATACAAAGAAGGTACAGTTAAATTGGCAGTAAATGTCTCTGCATTCATCTCAATTCCGGGTGTGCACTTGTGGGATCAAAAGTAGTGAAAGGAAAACACTAGCACATTCTTTTGAATACTGTTGGTAAAAATTTATTAAAAATTATAAAAGTATAAAAGATATGGGAATTATTAAATTAAAAATGAACTTAATTCACTTTTATAATTTTTTTCATATTTTAATTAATAATTAATAGCGTGTTAAAAGAGTGTATTGTTAGCAATTTTTCAAGATATCAATGCCTTCAATTTTGTCTTCCACTTCTTAGTACAACTGTTTGAGCCTCTCAATGTTTTCTTCTGAAGTATCCCAATAACGGCGTGCCCTGGCTTCCAAGAATGTCTGCATCAGCTTCCCAAAGGTAGAGAGTATGGATATGTGTTCATGCGTTTCTTCAGCATTTCCTCATCTTGAATGAAAGTTGTGTTGGCTTCTTCATACACACAGTTGTCAACTTGGCCTCAAGTTGCACTTCACCCAACTGTAATAGTAAGCCTTTTCTTCTCAATCTCGTGAGTTCAGGATTGAATGATGGTAATGCTATTGCCAAAATAAATGATTATAGGATAAGATAGTATATATGAAAAAAAAAAAAAGATTGTTCAATAAAAGATGTAATATTTATAGCAAATGTTAGATACTATTTATAGGAAAACAATAACACTAAGTTATAATACAAATATTTATATAAGATGTAATATTTTTCATTGTAAAATGCTAATTAGTATCTTAAAGGTATTGATTAAGAAATTAAAAGTATAATTTTTTAATTAATAAAAGTAATAATGCACCCAATTTTTGTTTTTAATATATTTTAAAGCAATTTCTAACAAAAAACTTACTATTTATTAATTTTTTATTTAATATCCTCACTGGTTAACAAAATAGTTTTTTCATAAATCCAAAAATGACATTTTACTATTAAAAATTTAAAGGAATTCCTTATTTTCCTTGAAAGCTTATAGAACGTGTTGCCAATAATCATTTGAGTACATTCATAATACTAAATACTAATCTAAGTTTGAGAACTGTGATACTTTTTCATAAAGACTAAAATGAAAACTCCTTCCAATAGTGTGTTTTTCATGTACATGAATATTGAAATCAAACCTAAAATTACATATTTAAAGTATCTTAACGCTTTCCATTTAAACCAACTCATGCTGATACTTCTATTTATGTTTGTGCACAAATGATATCTAAATTGTAGTTTTAAAAGTTTATTGATTTAGCTTGCTCAATCAGAAGTCGATCATGTCACTAATACGAACAATTCATAAAATCAATGGAGTAAAAAACAAATAAAATCGGTAAAAGCAGGTCTAAACCGATGTTAGTAAACCAGCTTAAACCGAATTGTTTTAAAAAACTAATACATCAAACTTGAACATGCAAGTACCAATATACTCAGGTGTATTTGACTAAAGAATTTCTTTATATGCTTATTCAATAGATGTATAAAAACTTATAACATAAATTTGATTATAAAATTTATTTAAACAAGTTTAAAAAATTTTAAAAATCAAAAGTTATTTGAATATACTCTTTCAAGTTACTTTGTTTTCCTGGTAGATATTTGGAAATCCCTGTAACAATATGATTGGTGATAGTCGATCATTTTCATCAGTAAAATTTGAGCTAGAAACTACTTTGAAAATAACATGATTTTGTTTAGTAAAAGAAAAAGGAATCATAACATATACATGTTAGTACTATTTTTATGTTAAATTGGAGACTTGAGAGAATGTAAGGGTTCGTTACTTATATCACCTACTAACCAAACTATCTATTTTTGCGTTGAAGTTTTCATAAAATTCAATAAGACCAGTAGCATTTTAACATCCGAATGCACGCAGTAACAGTTCAGATAAGAAATCATTCTTCATTACAGTTCTAAAAATGACATCATCCATATAGTTGCTATATGAACCCAGTGAAGAATAACTGGAAACATTGTGTTCTGCTTCTGAAAAACATGAAACTTAGATTTTCATTCCTTGCACCCAAAACAACCCCCTTCAAAGGATGCATTTTTACAATACTCATGTTAAGAGAAAGCATATTTCACCAGCATCTTTGAATATAAAGATGGCCTCTGAACATATACAAACCAGGGATGTATTGATAGGTGGAAGTATAAAAATGTGGCTATTGTAAAGATATCCCAGAAATTAATTCCTGAAGCTGATTTTCCTTTATCACCACACCATGTTTCTGGGTAAAAAGTGCATCTTTGATGGAACTGATAGTAATATCAGTAATAGCATCCGCAACAGAAATGTTAATGTATTCATTCAGGTTGTGAACTGTTCCATCTGCATGGATGAAGATACTATAGGAGTGAACAACTCAATACATCAATTAATATCAAACATATAACCGTGGCTCATCCTATTAATAGTAAAGTAGTCTTTCTCAAAATATACATTACTAAAACTTGTTCTAGAGCCTGCAAAAGGAGAAAGGGCTTGGGGATTTTTCATGTCCTCCAAAACCTTTCTCTTTTGTATTTTTTGACTTCCCCCATTTTGGAGGATACATTAAAATTAAAACAAGGGACTTTAATCCTACTTCTCCCTCCTTCCCCTCTTCCCTCTTACTCCTCAAATCCTTTACTTCCTTCTTCCAAACTCCCAAACAAACCTAAATGTTTCACCAATAAGATCTGTAATTGCTTGATCTTAAGTATCTTTATCCAAGTTCACATCAATAACTTCAATATTTTTCTGTCCACTTGCAAGCAAGAACTTCATCAAATTTGAATAGAATTTAATTCTTTGATTCTGCAATGCAGGTTGTGGTAATAAAAAACATAAATTTCCAGAAATTATGCTTGATGAACTATGTAGAAACTAGATATTGACCTCAGAGAATGAGATTTCAGGAGAACCTTGTAAAATGAGGACTTAATATTATCAAACTTTAATCATGTAAGAATTTGAAAGTTGTTTTCTCCATTCATATATCTCTAAGATGGCATGTATCATAATGATCTGTTTACGTCGAAGCCAAAACAAGTACATTTTCTAATATAAATATTCCAGTCATTTACCTTCAGCAGCTATGGGTTCATGTGGAGGAGGTTCTTGAACCCAATTTCCATCCGAATCTTTCATGTGTCTTCTATCAGATGCAAAAGAACGGAGAAACACTGGAGCATGCACAACTCTGAATAATCTGATATCAAAAGAAACCACTCATATGTTTCAACACTTAGATATCCAAATATACATCATCATCAACAATCAATAGACTAATTCATCAACAAAATCAGGGAAACACAACTAATGAAAGCAAAGTTTATACAAAAGAAAAACAGGTGATTTGTGATTGTGACAATATCACCGAAAAATTAATTGACAACAAAAAGGGGCCAATGCACAGGTTTTCCACCTAGTGTAATATGGAAAGGTAGATGTATGCAGCCTTACCCCTACAACCTAAAAGGCTGTTTCCTCCAGGTCACAGGGCAACAACCTTACCAAAGGTTCACCCTCAAATGTTTGGGATATCCATCAAATATGTTTGTAAACATTGACTTTGCTAATCATTTAATGTAACCAAAAAAAGGTATTATAAATATGCATAATAAAAATTATATACTACGGTTAAAATTTGACATTGCACTATCAACTTGGTTAGTTAACAAAGAATAAGCATTTATCTTACTACACAATATTTGTATGATGAAGTAAAAAGCTTTTTGGTGCTTGACAATCTACCACAAATGCATGAAAGTATTTATTTGGCCAAATTGTGGTTAGAAAGAATAGAAAACAAACACACAAAACTGCTTTTGGCTTTACACATGTCTAGTTCACTACTTCAATTAGGTTATGTTTGGATTTCCTGTTTAGGAGGAGAGGGGAGGGGAGGGATTAGTGGTTTAACCCTTATTTGGAAGTTAATTAATTAGGAAAAAAAAGGTTAAGCGGTTTTTTGGGCTAAATTAGGAGGAAAAAGGTTAAGAGGTTTTTCTAAACCCCAAAACCCTCCTAAAGTTGGTTTTTTGGGTTCTCCTATTATAGAAGGTTTTTCTCTTGCCCACTCTCTCGTACTCTTTCACAATTAGGATTTTATTTTATTTTATTCCAAAATATGTTAGTTTTCAAAGTGAGAATTTTTTTAAAAATATTCATTTTTAGAGAGAGAAAATTATTTTTAAGTTTTTGTATTTTTTGAAAAAAGATAAAAAGATATGGATAAAAGATATAAAAGACAATAATATTATTTACATGATTAAACCTCCATTACTCTTCTTCCTTAATATTAAATATCTAAACAAGAGAAGAGTTTAACCCTCCTTCTCCCTCTTTTCTCATCCCCTACTTCCTCCTTCAAACTCTTTCTTTTCCTCTCCCTCTAAACATCCAAACAAAACCTTGCTCTCAACAATTTAGATAGTAATTTTGGACCTTGAGAGGAAATCCAAAGCTCCCTTTATGGTGAAATATTTTTTTATACAACAGGTACATAACAAGATTGATCCACATGACTTGCTGCAGATTCATAGCACTTAGCTCACCCCGTTTCTGATAGATGTTATGTGTTAGGTGCAGGTGAAGCTCAGAGACAATCAGCCACTTATTCTTGCATTGCAAGGTATCTAGTTTCCTTTGGTGGTATAACCTTTTTGGGATTACTGAAGAACACCAGTGTATTGCTCTATCTGGAGCAGTTTTTGCTGGTCTGATGTAAGGGATTCAGTAAAAGCAAGGAAACTAGGTGATATGGAAGGTCTAAGTTCATTGGTTCCTTTGGTGTGAGTGGTTGGAGAGGACCCCTTGTGTGTTATGGGGGGTTTTATGCTGCCAGTTGATTTAGGAAAGAGTCATTTTTTATTTGTCTACTGTGTCCTACTCATGGAACTTTCAATGTTGATGTGATACAGATTCACAGGGAAATTGGGAAGCCTTGTCGCATACTTACTTTTTTTCCCTGTTTTTTCTTCATGATGTATTTACTATTTAGTCTTCTCCATTTTCAAGGATTTCTTATCCTCCTCAGTTAATTTCTCTTCACTCTAATGAAATTTCTTCATGTTTATTAAATAAGATAAATATGCAATAACAAATCACAATTTATGGCAACCTAAAAGAAGAGATGATTAAATGTTGAAGCTAGTAGAAAAGTATAATAATACATAATCTTAATTATTGCATCCTCTACTACCAAGGAAAAGAAATCATGCATGAACATCGTAACATCAGTGGGGGTTAAAAATTTGAAAAATGCTTCATAGTAAAAAAATTTGTGTGAATGATTAGGCGAAAACCATTTACAAAACAATCCTGCTGATTTCCATAAAATATTTTTCTATTTTATTTTTGGAATTTAACATTTTTTTGATAAAAAAAATATACACATATATTTGTACAAAATTTGTGCAATTACCTTTTGCTCTAAAAAGACCATGCACCCTATCACATATTTGATAAGTGGGTTAAAAAATCTTGTCAGAAATGAAAAAAAGAAAAAAAGAAAAATAGTAACATAGTAACATCATTACTATTCTATTAGGATTTCTAAATATAAATTGTTGTACTTAAATCATTCGGAGCAAGGAAGTAGGGGAAAGGAGGGGAGGGGGGGAATAACAATATAAATCATAATTGTGCCTTCCACTTATGTCAAATTACACAAAAAATAACTGATTGCATCACCATCATTACCCCAGCATATCTAGATTTTAATTTCTTAAAAGAATTATCATGACTGTTATTATGTGACATATGTACAGCATGGACATGCATTACTAGAACGGAAATTATAAACTAGGAGTCTAGGACCAACTGCAAATTTGCAATTTCAATGAAAAAATTATAAAACACCAAAATACCCAGATAGAATGAAAATATGGCAGAAAAAACAGATAGTGTGTTACCTATTATAATCAGAAAAAAGTTGAAAAGATGGACGAATTGTTTCAGACACATATGCAGCTAGAGGTGAAGGAAATGTAAGACTTGAGTCTAAGTCCCACACTAGTGGAGAGTCACCTCCTTGATTTATCTGTAATGCCAATCACAATAAAAGTATGACAAATGATCCCTAAGCTAAGAAAATTTGTAATGAACTGCGTTAGGAACCTTGTTAACTAGCTGCCTCAACTCATTGAAAGGAAATGCATATTTGTAAATACCTGAATGCAAATGACATGATAATCCCATAGAATAACCCCATCAGCCCTGTTGCTAGCCTTTTGATTCCAGAGTGGGATCTAGAGAAGTTAAGACAAATACTTCAGATTCTGATTGAAGAAGGATTATAATTTCATAATGAGTTATAATGGATGTGTCTTCAATTCAAATATATAGAGGCAGTACTATAAAACAAAAATAAATTGCATAGAGGCTTAAACATGTAATTAATACTCTTTCCACCTCTCAGCATTACAGTACTAGTTAAGAATCAAACACTATAAATGTTAAGTTTTGGTAATGTTAGCAAAACATGTCATTTTTTTCCAAATTCAACAGGCACAGTAGCGTTCTGTCTCAACTTTTTTTGCAAGTGTTCGCAAGAAAAGTGAGAAATTATATGTGAGGTCAGGTTAAGAAACCCAATTGAAGAAAAAAATAAAGTTTTAAAAAATGGAGCAAAAGAGACTAAAAAGTGTGTCAATAAACAGAATAATAATTTCTATGCCAAGAATCACTTTGAACTAGAAAAGTGTCATACAGAATCCCACTAAGAAGGAGAAATAGTACAGGCCTGTTTCTTTTCATTGGAAATGAAAACAACGAAAAGATCAGTTCCCTCAGCATTTGCTATTCCATCATTAGACAACTTTTTGCAAAGCAAGTATACATTCTCCTCACTGCAAATAAATAAAGGGAAAATAACCATAAAAATTCTATAGTATATTGCCAAATTTAATATTACAAGAATGAAAAGGAAAAAAAGTGATCTAGTTGCTTATTGGCAAAAAAAAGAAAAAGAAAAAAGAAAAGCAAACAAGTAGAGAATGAAACTACCACAACTAATCCAGCAAATGAAATAACAAATTAAAGGAACATATATTATTCCCAAAAATAGATGGACATCAATTCTAAAACCCTATCCATCATTAAAGAAAATGGAAAATCCGTTTCTGTAAAATTTGACAACATATTATTTCATTCTATGACCATTATGTATAGCAGCAAATATGCATGATCAAAACTTCACCACCAACCAAAGATATTACAAGCAGAAAGAAAGAGAGAGTGTGCGTATCACCAATAAAAAGGGGTGTGGTGGAAGTGAGAAGCATCCATACTTGAAGTTGCCATGGCTCATTTCAGTATTCACCAAATTTCCTGCAAACACACAGGCATCAACCTTAATAAAATAAGCTTGGAAAACAAAACCCAAAACCCAACCAGTATGGGCCGGAACGAAACCCAAACTAGTCCATGCATTAAATGAAACGCAGCACTTGGCGATTGAGAAGTAAGAAAATAAATATTTTTGAATCTTTCTAATGCTTCTTATTAGTTCTCCAAAAATATTAATCTTAGTTTTTAAGATTAATTTTAAGCAATTAAAAATATTTTTTTATTAAAAATTTTTGCATATAACATATAATAAATATCATTTTTATCTTTTTAATAAAATTACTATTTTTTTTATTCTTAAAATCAATCTTAAATGTTAAATTAATAAAATTTTTCACTTATTAAATAAAACTAAAATAATTTAAATTAATTATAATTTTATGCCTAAAACATCTAAATCACAAATATTAAAAGACCAATGTATTTATTATTAAATATATTAAAGATGTAAAGATTAATATCTCGTATTGCTACTAACAAAAAAATAATAATAATCTTATATTGCTTTATAATTAAGGTAAGAGAAAGTGTGTGTGCGTGTGCATATGTGTGCACATGTGCTAATAATGGATTCCTTTTATTTTCTTTTGTCTAATAGTTTTAGTTAAATTAGTTGATGCAATATCTCATATATGTGCACATGTTTTTCTTTTGTAAAAATTGATTTAATTAGGATTATATAGATGTTGTATGAGATTATTTATGTGAATTATATTTAACTAAAGGAATATACAATTTGGGCATATAATAACATGCATGTGATAATAAATATGTGAAAATTATAAAATTATTTTTATATAAGTAATAATAATTTGGACAAATAATAACATGCATGAGATTATAAATTTATTATTAATATTTTATGGCTATATCGAGAGTACCACTTATAAATTAATTTCTATGTTTAAAGACAAATGGTTAATGTTGCATTAGGTATCTTGTGATAATCCATTGTATAAATTATTTGTATTGATTTTAAACATATTTTTTATGTTAATTTTTTTTTTCTAGTTTTTACATCAACGCAGTAAATGTATTTGTTCAAATTAACATTGTCAAAATTGTGTTGCTTATTGTGTATTTTAGAAAGTTTTATATTTTATCTTTACTATAATTTTATTTTTTATTACAATTATATTTTGCTATTAATATGAGGTTTATGTATTTAGAATCAATCACATAACCTTAAGGATTTGTTTCCTTAGAATTAGTTGTCCATATTTTCTAAAATAGTGAGTAGGCTCATGTATATATAAGTCCAATAACCTCATAATTAAAATACAATAGAAACAAAAAATATCATTCCTTCTAAATTTGAGATGTATCAAAGCTCCTAATCTTTGGGAGCCTTTGACCGTGCCTGTAAACTCTAAGTCACAGCCTTCATTGCTATGTTGTCTGTAATGGTTGAGGTCAAGAATTATGTTCTGGAAACTAGGGACAAATCTCAAATTGCTGGAGAATTGCAAAATGTTCATTCTACTTATCGATTAAATGGAAAGAATTATCTCAAATGGTCTCAACTCATTAAGATCATCTTGAAAGGAAAAGGAAAGGTCAGTCACTTGACAAATGATGCCCTTAATGCAAAGGATGTCAAGTTCAAATCATGGGATGAAGAAGACTCCATGATCATGGTGTGACTGTGGAATTCAATGGTCCTAGAAATTAGTAATACCTGCATGTTCCTTAAATCAACAAAGGAAATTTGAGAGGCAGTAGAACAAACCTATTCTACAGTCAAGGATGTTGCTCAAATCTATGATGTAAAGGTGAAAATCGTGCCTGCCAAACAGGAACAAATCAATCACAAAATATGCCAATCAACTCAAGTCCTTATGGATGAAATTGAATCACTGTCGAGTTGTAAAAGCAAAGTGTTCAAAAAACTCAGCAATCCTTAAGAAGTATATTGAATAAGATAGAGTTTATGATTTTTTGGTAGGCCTAAATCCTGAATTTGACCAGGTCCAAATCCAAATCCTAGGAAAAAAGAAAGTCTCAAAGCATAATGAAGTGGTAGCCATTATTCGAAATGAAGAAAGTAGGAGAGGACTGATGTTGGAGACCCCAATTACTAAAAGCTCAGCAATGATGGCTGAAGGAGGAATAATCATGGTTGCTAACCAAATGAAAAAGCAAGTTTCCTAATATGGAGAAAAAAACATGAAGAGATCTTATTAAATCATGTCACACAAGAGAGAATTGTTAGAAATTACATGGAAAACCCCTAAACCGAGAATGGGAGCTAAAAGGAAGCCCTCCCAAAAAAAAAGGGTAAGGGCAAACATACATTGTTAATGGATAAGGTAAAGAATCTGTTCAGCTGAATCATGAAGAGATGGAAAGGGTAAGATCCTTCCTTAGTAAATTGGACAAGTCCACAGGTATATGCTTCTTAACATATTTTGGTAAGCTTCCATCTTAATGTTTCAAATACACCCTTTACCAATTACTGGATATTAGATTCTAGAGCTACTAACTATATAACCTCTCTACCCAAATACTTCTCCATGTCCTAGCAATAAGAAAATTTTTTCAGCAGATGAAACCTCTCTAACAAGACAAGGAGAGGTCCAAATAAGCCTATCCATAACATTAAAAAGTGTCCTTTATGTCCCAAAACTAGACACCAATCTAATTTCTATACATAAACTCATAAAAGATCTCTCATGTAACGTTGTTTTTTATAGCAACTCTTGTATACTGAGGACAAGCACTCTGGGAGGACAATTGGACATGCTAGAGAATGGAATGGCCTATACTACACGAAGGACCTTAATCTGCCTACAAAGAGTCAGTCTTTTATATTTGAATCTACTATGACAGATAAAGAAAAAGCTCAACTATACAATTGTCGACTGGGACACCCTTCATTTTGAGTTGTAAAAGTGATTTTCCCTTCCTTGTTTAAGAATTTAAATGTGGAGAGTCTCCATTGTAAGGTGTGTGAACTTGCTAAACACAAATGTGTACCTTTCCCCATTAGCAATAAAATGGGTCCTTCTTCTTTTCTCCTTGTTCATACTAATGTATGGGGTCCTACTAATGTCCCTAATATCTCAAGTGCTAAATGGTTTTTAACCTTCATAGATAATTGTACCCGAGTGACTTGGGTTTTCATATTGAAACAGAAATGTGAAGTTAGCTCCATGTTTTTCCAGTTTGTCTCAATGATTAAAAATCAATTTAGAGTCGATATCAAGAAAATTAGGTTTGATAATGTCAAGGACTACTTTAATTTTGTGTTCAACTCTTTTTACAAAAGGAAAGGATAATTTATAAGTCATCATATGTGAACACACCCCAACAGAATGGCATTGTAGAAAAGAAAAAATGGGCACTTATTAGATTAAACTAAAGCCCTACATTTTCAAAATCATGTTCCTAAGAAATTTTAGGAGGAAGCCCTTCTTACTACCACCTACCTAATCAATAGGTTACACTCTAAAATCTTAGAATCAAAAAGTCCCATAGAAGTCCTATCCTCATTCTACCCACACCTAGACCCTACAAATAAACTCTAACCTAAAATATTTGGGTGTGTATCCCTTGTGCATGTTCATAGTAATGAAAAGGGAAAATTGGATCCTAGGACTGGCAAATGTGTATTCTTACAGTATTCAATCACACAAAAGGAATACAAATATTTTCACCACCCATCAAGAAGATTCTATGTGTCAAGAGATGCCACATTCAACGAACAAGAGAGTTATTTCCTTCAGGGAGAGAATGTAAGAGAGGAAGATGAGACTCTCATGCTTTCAAATACGAAAGTTGGACCTAAAATTTGGACAAATAGCGTTGTTGTCTCTAAAACTGAGAGAAGAACAAAACAAGCACCTAAACCAACAACAGGACCTGCAACTAAACTTGCACCTAATGGTGAAAAATTTGGAAAAAAATCTAGTATATTCAAGGAGAGAAAAGGTCATTCTAGAATCTGTCCACGTCCAAGAATCCAACCCACCATCACTACATGAAGTAACACTTTCTAATCCTATAAACTCCAATAATTCTAATGAGTTTTTCTAAAAATCTGCAAGCACAGGTGGACCAAAACTTGGACCTTCCCATTGCCCCTAGAAAGGGAACTAGAACATGCACCCAACAATTACTTTACACTCTACCAAATTTCCTATCCTTTGAAAAATTCTCTCCTACCCATAAAATCTTTCTCACAAACCTAAACTCTACACCCACACCTTCCTCTATATCTGAAGCCTTATTTAACAGGAAATGGAAACAAGTCATGGATGTGGAAATGAAAGCGTTAAACAAGAACAGGACCTAGGAACTTGTCATCGTACCAACTAGAAAAATATAGTAGGGTGCAATTGGGTATATACCATAAAGTACTGGGCTGATTGGATCATTGAATGTCACAAAGCATGGTTAATGGCCAAAGGATTCACTTAAACCTATGGAGTGGATTACTTAAAGACATTTGCCCCAATTGCTAAGATGAACACAGTCAAAGTAATATTGTTATTAGTAGCAAATCATGATTAGGACTTGCAGTAGTTCGATGTGAAGAATGTATTTCTACATGGAGACCTTGAAGAAGAAATATACACGGAATTAGCCTCTGGTTAAAGGTTCTATATAGACTAAAACAATCCCCAAGAGCATGGTTTGGAAGATTCACCAAATTTATGACAGGTCTGGACTACAAACAGAGCCACAATTTATTTATCAAACATTCAATTTCAGGGAGAATAACAATTTTATTGGTGTATGTAGATGACATTATAGTAAATGGGGATGACAAAAAAGAGCAACAAGTGTTAAGTTAATGCATTGCCACATAATTCGAGATTAAGACATTTGGGAGACTTAAATATTTTATAGGAATTGAAGTGGCCCATTACAAGAAAGAAATCTTCATATCTCAACAAAAGTATATTACTGACTTGCAAGAAACAAGTAACACAGCCTACAAACCAGCAAGTACTCGAATTGGCCCAAATATAAAGGAAAGTATGGAAGAAGATATT